AATTCGCTATGACTTATGCACAAATAGATACGCGTGCTTTTGAATCTTGAACTCATTTTTGAGCGGCATACTCCTTTCTTTCGGAAGTTGAACAGGGACATACGTCGATCGTGTCGACGGGAAAGTGCTCGTGTATTCTTTGCCTGTAGTTTCCTCCTTCCCTGGCAGGAAGATTGGTGTCGAAGCGGTGGTGGGGTTGTGTTCTGCGATTGTAAGTAGTGCAGTCTTGGAAAACCCTGCCTTTAAACATTTCTACAGATAGATAGTCATCTGCACAGGAATGTTTGTAGGCATATTCGGCAATGTTTCGCGTGTCTCCTATGCTCTCGTTCGCGGACCGCGCTGATCGTCACATCCGTCGAACATCGTCTCATAATTCCCGAAACATCGCACTATTCTTCCTCGTATACAAAGCAACAGACGTTTCACGACTCTCTTCCTTTCTCAACTGCTTCTACGAACGTTCTTGTATACATCTACCCCTTGTACTTATCACTCGAGAAACGGATGACGGCACTCCCTACCAGAAGCCCTGACTTCTGGTTTCGCGATGGCTCCATTGTGCTGTCCGTCGAGAACACTCTGTTTCGCGTTCACCAGACGATCCTGGCCAACCACTCAGAGGTTTTCTCCGATATGTTCAGTTTCCCCCAACCGCCATGCCGGGATGGCGGAGAAGAGAGAATTGAAGGATGTCCGGTTATCGAGCTGCAGGATAAACCTCAAGACGTTCTGGATATCTTGAGGGCTATATATCATCCCTCGTACGTGTTTTTCTTGAGCTTTTGTCTTCGAAAGCTCAGTTCCTCTGAAACTCAACAGACATTTTGACCAGCTTTCGCCCACGGCCGATCTTGATATCCTGCTAAATTTCATTGGCGGAATATTACGTCTCAGCACGAAATATCTTGTCCACGAGCTACGAAGGCGCTGTATATCACTTCTTTCAGCTCGTTTCCCTGCATCGTATAAAGGCTACATGCTATTAGGTCCACGGCCTTATTCTCCCTCGAGTTCGAGTACAGGGGCGTACACCGGAAGCGGGTCAGCGATACAAGACGATACGTCTATGAATTGGTCCAGTATCACCACATTCACTTTGACGCCAACAACGAATCAGACTCCCACAGACGGCCACGGCAGTACAACGACAACTTTTTCGATCCAACCACACCCTTCCTCTCACCAGCGCCAATCTCGGTCGCGGCGGCACTCCGACCACATCGTCTCCAGGGACCGCGAACACTACCGCCTCAAAGCATTAAAAGGCGGAGACGACCAACCCCCTAAACCCAAGCCCTCGTCTATCATGCGCGCCATCGCGCTCGCGAACGAGACCCACGCCCTCACGATCCTCCCGTACGCATACTACCTGCTCGCACGGACGTCGGAGCCCCAGCGGCTGCTCGCGCACACCTCCGGGAGCCTCTCGTGGCACCAGAAGGCGATCACCCTCGTGGGCCGCACGTTTCTGGAACGCGCGGAGACGTCGATTTCACATGCGTTTCTGACGTCGTTCGTCGTGGCCCCGGCGTGTTTGACCCCAAGCACATGTGCGAATGCCCGCGGGCCCCTGGTGGAATGGGCGCTGATGTGTACGAAGGGGCGAGGGGGCCCTGAGCCTTTGAGGCCTTGGGATAGGTGGGAGAGGCTGGGCGTGTGTCATGCGTGTGTTGCACATGCGATGGAGAGGCACGAGAGTGATAGAGAGAAGGTTTGGGACAGTTTGCCTGGATATTTCGAGTTGGGGACGTGGACTAGGTTGAAGGATTTGCAACAGCTTTGAAGTGAACACTGTACCACCGACACATTCCCCCCGCTTCTGCTACCATCTGTATCACAAATCATGGACATCGCATCTAGATTTTTTTCATAATACTAGCAAGTGGGGCTGCTTTCTCATGCGGGAAACAAAGCGACGCGAAGCTAATGCCTGCGAGGAGTCTCAGATCTCAGCATCGGGAAGCCTGGTTCACCACCTATTTCGTTGCCCCATCAGAAGATAATCAGAGGATTTACGCCACTCAAGGCTGAATGGTCTAGTAGCATGATTCCTGCTTCGGGGCGGTCGAGGTCCCGTGTCCCATGAGACATTGATTATGCAGGAGGTCCCGGGTTCAATTCCCGGTTCAGCCCTTTCCGCTGTATACTGAACCTTTTTTCAGTTTCTGGATGCCCTATTTTGAGTATAATGTATCGGGTATCAAGGAAGAGGGTATATGTAGACAGCCGCGCAACCTATAAGCGAAAGCCCCCTGCTAGATCCATGACATTGTTCGGGTCTACAACCTTCTTCAATTCGCGGAGCCGGGGTAAATTCTTGCCATAGAGATTTTCGAGTGGAATATCGTATAGCGCGTAATTCGGATAGACGGCGTAACCCGGGATAGTTTGACCCTCCTCAAGAGCGACCTCTCTAATTCGAGATGCACTCTCTTTTATAGCGTTGTGGAAAACGTGGTCGAAGGTCTCGAATGTCCATGCAAAGCAAATGATGAACGGGGAGAGACCAACGTTTCGAGATGGTGGGTATGCAGATGTCGAGATTATTGAAGATGAAGGAGAGGACGCGGCGGTGCCGCTATTAACAGAGACAGAGTGGAAAGGAGAGGATGTGATGTTTATATCACGTACAGGGAAACTAGAGTGGAAAGGAATGGATGTTGCATTTAAGCCACTGGTGGAGATAGAGAAAGGTGTTGAAGGAGTGGAAGTGGCGTCGAGGCCAACGGTAAAGATAGAGGGGAGGAACGGTTCAACGTCGTAAGAAGTCACAAGCCCGCCTTTCAGTCTAAGCTGTTTACCCCAGAACTAATCAAACAGTGAGGTCGATCGCTAGGATAAAGAGTTACAATACTCACGACAGTCTCGTTGACGATTGTATCGAGTAGCCTGGGTGTATAGTGAGCGATAGGAACGCTGTCGAATGCCATGCTAACCAAAAAGTTGGTGAAATGCGAATCGACTAGTAGAATATAAGAGAACGTACCGAAGGCCGCGAACCGTATTAACTGGTGTGGCTTCCACGAGCGACAAAAAACTGCGGGTCTTGATGTTCCTTGTAAAAGACGGTATGGAAAGAAATTTATCAAACAGGCCAGGAGGGGGCGTAGGACCGTCGTAAAACAAAATTAGAGCGACACCAAGCTATAGCGAAGTAGTTAGCAGGCATTCAAGACAAATAAGACCAAAAAAACTAGAGCCTACCTGCCCAAGAACATAGTTATATGTTGTGATAATACTAGCCTTTGGGTCAGTCACTGTAGATGAGAAGAGCGATGTCGCCGCTGTTATGTCCGCGACTTGAGCTGTGGTATAGGTTATGACGCCACCCTGTCATGTAATGTCAACAAAACACGCCACACGGCTGTAAGTAATACCGACCCAGACTTTGCCTTGAGGATAAGCCTTCAGGACAAAACGAGTTACGATTCCCTGACAAAACAATCAGAAGATCTGGGTTGCATATCAAAAAAAGGCGGCCGTACAAAGTTGTTCATTCCTCCCTACATTAGAGAGATTCAGTCCCTGGGCTCGTATAAAGATAAGAGTCTTACCCTCAGTCCGAAATATAATTCAGGGTCTGAAGTCTTCGTAACGGTAACCACTTCACCAGTAGGCTTGACGAGTTCGTACGCTACGACGTTATCAATGCCAAGTCCTCTCTGGTTACTTAGCCAAGAATAGCCTGTATAAGAGAAATATCGGTCGAGGCCCGTAGAGCAGCAAGTTTTCAGGGTTGCACATACCTCCGCCAAGCATGAACCCAGCCACTCCCACGCCTGTAACTCGTCCGCCCACAACATTGACTCCATGTGGCGCCAGTCTAGCGTAAACCTCATCCCACGTTAGGCCTGCTCCGACAATGACCGTCTCGGACTCCGGGAGATACGTCACTTCGTCGAATTGTTTCATACTTATGTGAACGCCTTTCGTGGACGAGAAACCTGGATTAGACGAGTGACCGCCTCCTTTGACCTGAACCAAATGAGTAACAAGGATTAATTTCTTGGAAACGAAAACGTACAGCGAAAGGAGTCCTCGTTGATTGGACAAGTCGAAGCTATAAAGAATTGAAATAGGTTCCTGAGATACAATGCACATCTCAGTTGATAGAGAAAACATACAATGGTGGCGACATCTTCGGCTGTCCCTGGCCTGACGCTGCATTTCGAGTGCTGAGTGCTGGACCGGGCCCAATGGGATATGTCGGCGGCATAATGACCGCGAAGGTCGCCTGTCGAACGTATGAGCATTTCCGCCTATATACAAAGATCCCAGACTTGACTACCTGGGTAGATCACCGACGTCGCAGAGGAGGTAGCGCGACCAATTTGTCCACACACTGTGTTAGAGTGCTGGTGGACAAGATTGGGCCCACATGCGCAAAGAACAAGCAATAGTGCGATAGCAAATGCTAGTAGAGGAATTCTCTCGGAGGGCAGAGATTTTGTGTGCATTGCGCTGAGGGGGCAAGAGTCGCAAGACTTGCCAAATTGACGGTACCGAGGTTTTATACGCAAATGTGTGATAGGTTAAACGAAAGCCATTCTTGAGAACAGGAAGATTGTTGATCCCGGAAATCACATTAATGGAGGGGGTCAGGGACAACGTTAATTTCCTCGCCAGCATACGTTTTGATGCCAGCCTAAGGTGTTGAATATAAACTGTAAGCTGGCACGACTGAGGAGTTCAGATGTCACAGAGATTTCCTTTTACAAAGAGCTAGATAGTGTGGTCAAGCGATAAAACTGGAATCTGAAGCTTGAAGAGTTACTTAATTCCTTAAGCCAAACTGCGAAAGCCATGCAACAGAGCTGTGTCTGTTTGGGTGATAACTGACGTTGTTCGCATGCGAGTATGGAAGCGGAGGCGGCCGAGGCGCTGTATGCCATTTTGCAGTTTAAGTTTAGCCTCGATCAGGCCTCAGTAAAGTGGATACATACCAGATAAATACATACAGACCTTAGAGCTCACGGAGCACTCAGCACAATGCCCAGTTCCGTGGTCTCCAGTGCTTCCTCATTAGAACTGTATATTCGATTCATTCGGCACCGTTCTATGTCTGTAAAGAGGGCATACCACACGAAACCATGTCGTTGAAGAGATTATCATCCGCAGCGAAAGAAGTCGACTGTCAGAGAGGCATCTCAGAGACATCCCTCATGAATGGGACCAGAAGTTGAACCACTTAGGCCAGTACATATCATGTGACCATGTCACTGATGGAATCTTATCTTCCCAGGATGATGTCAGTGAAGCGGAACATGTTTTCAACTTGCAAGAACGAAGCACTTCGTACTTGGGATCCAACCATTTGACTCACGCGTTGGTGCCTAGCCGGGAGGATGTCTTCCAGGATGTCTCCTCAAAGGACTAATCCGGTATGGTGTAACGGCTAACATTGCCGCCTTTCATACGTATTTCCGCGGCAGCTCGGGGTTCGATTCCCCGTACCGGAGTCCTCAGCTTTGTCTTCATGTATTTTTTGGTTTTCTATCCAATCGCTCTTACTGCTCTTGCCATTTAGAAGATAGACTCTGCTGATTTTATGTCCTGACAGCATCCTACCGCTCAGGGGTATGCTTTCATGTTAACCATGGGCCGACCCCTTCCCAAGTGATGTATGATACGGAGTCCTGGGCCTCGATATGCCTAACAAATAACAAAGTCGCCAACAACGTTCAAAGAATGTTGACGATGAAAGAACTTCGGCTAGATGTAAGTACGCGTTTAGCAATTGACATCAATCACGGTCTTTATTCCTCAAGTGAAATTGCCTTTGAGAAAGCGTTACAAAGGGAATTTGAAAACTCGCGTCTTTAACAAGTGCCAGCATCGCAACGGCGAGCTATTTAAACTGTCAGCTAACCACCTTTATCTTTAACAATTTCCTCTAGGTCATGCAGCACCTCGGTGTATCGACGACCGTAGAGTCGCTCCCATACGAACTTCAAGATCTCGTTATAGACTACCTGCGAGAAGATTTCAAATCTTTTTGTGCATGCAGCCTTGTATGTTCCCGATGGCTCTATCGCTCTAGGAAGCTCGCCAACTTTCAAGCAGTCGTGGCGTTCACTCCGCTGTTTGATAAATTTTGGGATGGCGGTACTTCTGGCCTGCCGTATAGCATTTATACACCCCCTGCAGATAAAAAGGCACCCGTTGTCAACCTTGACCCGAAAACCAAAGGACTTATCGAACTACTCAACGCTCCCCACTCGACATTGAAAATGGCGATACGCCGTTTAAAATTCCGCGGGGCGTGTGAGTATTATTGCGCACTCGAATATGATGTTCTCTGCGAAGCAATACCGGCCATTCTCCCGCAGTTGTCTGGGATAAAAACGCTGACGCTGCACAACATAATCTGGACAAGGCTCTCTGAGGCGGTTAAAGATCAAATCGCCGCAACTACAGCCTCGATCACCAATCTTTCCTTAGACCGATCCACATTTGCCAACATCACGGAGATCACGAGTTCGTTTTCGATTCACAGGTTTCCGAGCGTGGACACGCTGTCAATGATTGGCTTGTACTGGGAAAATTCTACACTCAACTTAGATGACTTTGACTATAGACGTGAAGGTATCCGCACTCTGAAGATCGATGGCTGGAGCATCGAAAACTCTCCCGTCTGCATCTTTGGCCAAAATATACACACGCTGTCTCTCATCGTCGACGTGGGCATGGATTACTTCACAGACCTCATTGAAGTCACAAAGACAACGTTGACAATTCTCAACATCAGGATAGACATGATTCCGCTTGTGCCCCTCTACGGTGAGAACATTCGCATTCTTATCTCATTAACATTAATACTAATCTTACCCATCTTCCAGGACTTGTAAACGACGAGACCACAGACGATCGACTTAGTTTAGCAGAATGCACGAACCTCAGGAGCCTCCGCATTCTTCTTGACGAATTTTGCCCCGATGAAGAGCAGTACATAGCAGAAATGATCGACTCTGCTTCATCTTTAGGCTATCTGGGAACGATATACCTTGCTGTTGGCAGGATGAGCCATTACACCCCAAATCTTCGTCTATTGGAGCCTGCCTTGTTGAAGCAGAGTAGCAAACCATATATTATGGTCTTAACGGTGTACGATGAATCGAAAGGGACAATACCTC